ATGGCGAAAGCAGAAGAGGCTTCAGATTCCTTGACCAGGACAGTCGCGTTTCTAATCCAAACGAACTTAAAATTGTTGAGTTTGGCTGCTTCGCGGCATTTACGAAACAAATTTTTGTTTCTCAATGTCAAGTGTTCATTTAGGTAGACGCGGGATGAAGTCCCTGAGAGGCCGATGCGGTCAGTAGTAAGTCCCTTCGATAGCCGGTATGCCTTGAGAAGATTATCCCGCTTTATCCGAGAAGTAAATTTAACTATAATGTTTTTAGGTCGACTGGCCTGCGCATGAGCATGCGGAACGCGGTGGATAGATATAATATCGCTAGGGGCTATTGAGATATTGACTGCCGAGCATATTGACTCAAGCATAGAGATTAGGTTCTCACCTCGCTTTTCAGGCAAATTTGCAATTTCTATGTTACATTGTCGTGCCTGCTGTTCAAATGCATCAAACCTTCCTTCGAAAATTTTCTTAGCAATGTCCTCAGAGTCGCCCGCCCTCGATTCCAACTCCTTCAGGCGCCTATCACACTCTGCGTAATTATTTAAGTCAAAATTCACTGAAGACTTTAGATCAGCCACTTCCCGCGAAATTTCAGTATATTTACTGTGCAAGTCTGAAATATCTCTCCTCATGCGTGAATATTCCCCGCGAAGCTCCTTAACCTCATTTTGTATCTGGGAAGAAGTAGCTGATAGTGCATTTAAATCTTCTCGGAGGTCGTTAATACACGTATTTACATTAAAGAATTGGTTGTTCATGTCGGATCGTAGATCCAAAATAGCTTTTTTCAACTCCATAGACAATGCACTTATAGCCTGGGTAAGTTCACAGTCCGGGTGCTTGCGCTTTCCATAGGCAACATTGAGACCAGGTTCTAAACTTGAGTGCAGGTCTGGATTCGACTTGCATACCTTATTGACAGGTGAACCCTGGTGAACCCGATAGTGACATGACGCAAGAAATATCACTCGTGTTAGTAGTCTATAAGGATAGATGTAATAGATAGTACCGTAATTCGCCGTGCAGTCTCCACGCACAGTTGGCTTAGTGGCGTAAGGCGTCCTCACCCGTCACTGCGCGGTGCGTCGCTGGTTCGCGCCCCACTAACTGCACCACTTTTTGTGATTCTTCAAAAATTGTTGAAGCGTTTTCTGGTAAGCTTGAGCGAAAGAGACGCCGCAATACAAGCCCCAAGATGGCGCAGGCAGTATATGGCACTTTACTCAAGATAGTACGAGAGAGGCCGAGAAATTAAGGAAACTGAGCAAAAGCAATTAACGCAGTGCATGCATAATAAAAGTAAACAAATCGACAGCACGTTTGCCCTCAGCTAATTCTCGAGACGAACTGATTTGACTTTTTTAGCCAAGACTTTTCCGAAAATCTTACGAAAGTGGAAAAAAACAGATAAAAACAAATAATATACCTGTTCCAAATGAATTCTTTGATATTGTATCTGGACATTCATGGTTCGTACATAAAATGTGTCCTTCAATACATCTGCAGGAGTTACAGCTGTCTGGTTTAGGTATCTCTTGGCCCTCCACACATTTAGGCCCTGGAAATAATAGCCACATCGTCATCATCACCTTTTTCTTCAATATGGTAATCAGTATAAGGAACATTATCTTTGTAAATGTAGCATTTAATTACGATGCTTATTTCTTCATTAAATAGAAGAACAAAACAATGGGGACTTTCCACAGAACACAGAAAATTTGCTTTGTAGCACCTTCAATGGTTATTTATGCTGACCTGTCTGATAAATGAGCTCTGGGACCGCAAGCAACAAGTTTTAAGTGCGGGAGTGCCATGCTTCGGCACGAATGGGCCGGCTCGACCGGAGTGAAGCCACGGCCTCACAGAAAACAGACGTGAAACAACGCTTGCGTTGTGTTTCGTCGTGTGAGTGAGGTTACCGGAGGCCCAATTACCCCCTTCACCAGTCTCCCCAATCCCCGAATCCCCCACAATCCTCGAATTCCTAATTCCCAAAAGGTCGGTAACGCACTTGTAACGCCTCTGGTTTTTCGGGTGTCCATTGGCGACGCCGATTGCTTACCATAAGGTGATCCGTCTACCCGTTTACCGGCTTAACCCATAAAAAAACCTGTGACAGTCCTTTTCTGAACTTTTTTATTGGGACCAAAACCGGATCTACAGTAGATGTATACCACTATGAAAACACCAGAACAGTGAAGTCCGGGGTGTCCGATCTAATAACTGTCTCCGATTCCGCAACGAAATAAATCAGAAGACACTATTAGAGGAGAAGAATCCTCGGCTGGACTATGGACCTTCTCTACCTAAGAGCCCTCAGGATACCCACCGCCTTCCCTGCCGTCACCACATCGTCTTTCACCCTCTGGGGGAATGGCTACCGTTTATTTTAAAGTTTTATTTATATCCTTCAAGTATACATTTACTTTGAAGACCCATTCAAATACAACGTCAGAAAAATTAAAATAACCTTTACCTCGCATGCACATTACATCGGAGCATACCAGTCGACCCTCGAAACAGTAACATTCATTGCAACCATCTGTTTTGTAAACTGGCTGGTTAACATCACATTCTGAACCTGTGACAATATGATGCTTGTTATAGAATACTTAATTATTAGAATTTATTGTGTACTGTGACTCTATCACACTACTTTAGATCCTATTACATTAATGTAGCTGGTCAAACAAGCTTACTAGAACGCACTGACTCTCCGCGCTTGGCTTTACCAGTAGGACTCTAATAATGATGACCAATGAAATACAGACATGAGATATAAGTAAAGTTCTTCGAATGTTGTGGTGGTCTGGAGCTTCGAAACATACCAACAACAAGTACCAATATGACCTTTTCCGAGTTACGTGTACGTCCTAAGATTATTTAGAACACCACTGACAAACTGTGAAGGTAAACATCGTGAGGAAAGGGCTTACAATTTTTTATTAGAGCTTTGAAATTGTCAACCCGCATTGAGCAAGCGTGGTGATTAATACTCAAATCTTCTACACGTGAGAGGAGACATCTTACGAAGCAGAAAAGTATATGGTATGGGCTGGCTCCATTTGGATATGGGCTGGCTGGACTGGCTCTACGCTTGACAGGTGCTAAGTGCGAGGTTTAAAAGATTTTAGTTTATCAGAGAGCATCGCAGCCCGATGGACCAGTAGTTCCGGAGATTGGCGCGTTCAAACAAACGAATTAACTACAAATATACGTACATTTGTACCTCCAGCAAAAACCTCCTCATCTTTAAGTATTAGTTCTCCTCTCACACACTTAAGCTTTGTAAAAGCCCTCGATTTGTTTTACCTGTTCTATCTCCGGTTGTGAAATGTTTAACGCTGGCCGAAGCTCGAAGGGGGGCAGCCAATACATCCTCCCCACTATCATCCACAATAGTTTCGTTTATTGCGAACGTTTCTATATGAAACGATTGAACAAAACAAAAATTAGTCGTATGTTTAAACAGTTTTTCCAGACTGACACATAGGTACTTGTAATACAGTACCTCAGACTCAATAAGTCGATAATGCAAAGCACGTTGCTAATGGATAATCTTGGCTGTCTGATTATCATATGCAAGTATTCTTTATTAACGAAACGCCCTGTACCAGAAATAAAGCCATCTGAGTACTGAGCCAATAGTATCGAGCGCGTTAGGCGCTCTTATGGGTTGGTTTACTGGAGCCGGCCAATCAGAGCACCGAACGCACTCGATACCATTACGTTACGATTGCGATAATTATTCGTGCTTGGTACTCTGATGGTTTCACAAGCACTATGACTTTGTCAACAGTCTCATCTTTCATAATACCTATATTTGTGATAATCATTCGTATGATTTCATTCCTAATATAACTTCATTCCTAATTGCACGAACGTTTAATTTTCCAAAGATATAACTGTATCGTAGCCAAAACTTGGACGACAAGAAATCTACATCAGGCCTAGATGAAGCCTCCGTGGAGCTCCTTGCTCTGCTATACCTTCTTGCGGTCATTAACGCTCAGTACCTACTACAGGTTTACACCAGTTCTATTTTGACATAGATGGTGCAATAAATTTATTGTCCACTGCTGTTACTTCTAAACGAGTTTTGTGAAATCTGAGAGTTCTAGACCCTCAGATTCCACAATCCCTCATCCTCCAAACTAAATTCTTATTCTGATGGAACTACTAAATTTGTCAGTTATTTTAAGCAGTTCCATGAGTTGTTTCTTATTTGAAGCAACCGACTTAGAGTGATCCATGTAAAACAAACGGGATATAACTTGACCCCTTCTCCACAAAAGATAGCCCAGACCCGAAACCTCCAGTAAAGTACTGAGATGATTCAAGGTCAACCTGAACCATAATGGGCTTAGATTTGTTCTCAAAATGGATGTAAGAAGTTCCGTAATATCTTAACAATATTGATTACACAAATTCTAAATTGTTGTAATTATTATTACAATTTTATTATTGCAATTATATTGTACATGTATGCAATCTAAAGTTTGTGATAAACATACGACATGGAAATAGGGACACCTTTTCGAGTAGTTAATTGCATTATTATTTTATTTCATTGTTAGTGATAGTCACACAAGCAGAACATAATCAATAACGAAATTGATTTGCTATCGGTCATTATTATCATTATTATATATCGTTATAGACTATTAATTATGAGTAAAATGTTTTATTTTTATGTAGGTTAAGCCTTTGACTGCCAATAGAAAACTGATGAAGGCAAATCCTCCACTAACGTCGGTCACCGGTGACCCCCGCGGCGTTTAATGTGTTACTAAGGTTGCAGACCTCGCTCTTTATGGTATCCCAACGATAACTTTGTCTATATGAACATTTAATTCGTTTAAATATTTTATTTGCCCAATAAATATCGTTAAAATTCTGCATAGTATACATATAGTTCGGAGTCCGGGGAAAGACATAGGCTAATTCGTAACGGCCAAGTCGAGTATAAAATCGATAATATTAAATACGATATTTTCAAAATATAATAGTTATTTCTTACCGTTCTTTTCAATGGTACAGTTATTTGTGGTACACATGATATGCCCCTTCAAACACATGCAAACATTGCACTTGTTTTGTGGGGGATACGATTTCTTTTCTATACACTGTGGCGCTGGAAAACAGTAAATAAATGAGATTTTATGTAATTGTAATGAAAGATGTCTTAGCCTATATTTCTTGAAAAAAAATCTAGCTTACGGACGTTTATATTTAATGGTTATTTAACCTCCTTAGCAATTCATTTCGGAACCAAATTGTTACTAAATTATAGTTTTAGTCTCTGAATACTGGCACTTCAATATACATAGTATAAAACAAAGTCGCTTTCGCTGTATGTCCGTATGTATGCTTAGATCTTTAAAACTACGCAACGGATTTTGATGCGGTTTTTTTTAATAAATAGAGTGATTCTTAAGGAAGGTTTGTATGTATAATACATGCATATTGCACCCGTGCGAAGCCGGGGCGGGTCGCTAGTATAGAATAAATATATTAGTAGGATGGTTAGGTACCTGGTATACAAATCAAGTCTGAACAAGCCACTTTATTGTTGTCACACATACATTTGTTGCATGGATCTGGATTTGGTATAGTTTCACCATTTGTACAATTTGGCGCTGAAAAAGAAACACTTGTCTTAAAATAAGTAGGACAATAATTTGACGAGATACTTAGGTATCTATATGTATCTGCCTCGTTGGCCGAGTGCTCGCAAGGGGTCTCGGGTTCGATTCCCGGGTCGGGCACAGTATTACTGGGTTTTTAAAAAAAAACTCAGTAGCAGCATGGAGTATGTCTGTCCCCTATTACATGGGACTCATAACATAAATAGTGAAAAGTGAGTGTTACCACAGAACACGTGGGTGTTTGTACAGTGGCATTAAGTGCCGTAATGTACACCTCTACCTACCCCTTCGGGGATAAAAGGCGTGATGTTAGGTTATGTTATACTTAGGTGCCTCACGACAAGCTTTTACGGCATTTGAATCGAGTGGCTAAGCATTTATGGTCATGCAAACTAGACGTGTGTACCAATCAGCTTAATCAGTTGAAGATATGTACTTCAATATAAAGTTGCAAGATTCCACTTCACACACACACATACATACATAGTAAGTTAAATGAAAGCTTATTATAAGTGCCACGTCGTTTTCTACCATCAATTCCATTCATCCAATCTATCCATTACATCCATCTATCTTCACATACTTCGTCATACATCTAGGTACTAAGTCATACAAGCAAGCCGATTAAAAGTACTCTGGAACCCCCCATTTACCTACACTTCTCCGATGAATTACAGAACTATACCAAGTATAATATATTATGTTTATCACATTGCTCTTTTTCGTTTCCTAATTCGGCTTTTGGTTATCATAATCTTTGACATCATTTTTATGGAATAGGTCGTCAAACGAATAGCCAGATCACCTGATGGTGAGCAATCAACGCTGCCTATAGACAGCCTTTGCCTACGGTGCTGACTCGCGTGGCAAGCGTGTTGTGATGTCGTTTTTATGTAAGACCATGTAACATTCAATATATCTCCCCCGTGAATAATATCATGTGCATCTCTTACCCGGACACGGCAAATTAGTGCAAAATATTTCTCCTTCATAACAAATGCAAGAGTTGCATTTATCTGGTGAGCGAACAGGCTGGCCTGGCACGCAATGAGGCACTGAAAGGAAAATTCATTCAATTAAAAAGACAAAAAAAAACTAGAATGAGTTCTTCATAAAATTAACATAACATAACATCACGCCTTTTATCCCCGAAGGGATAGGCAGAAGTAACACCCACTTTTCACTATTTATGTTATGAGTCCCATGTAATAGGGGGTGAGCCTATTGCCATATACCGGGCACATTTTCAGACTCCGTACTACTACTGAGAAATTTTTAAAACCCAGTAATACTTTGCCCGACTCGGAAATCGAACCCGAGACCCCTTGGTCGACAGTCGCACTTGCGACCACTCGGTCAACGAGGCAGTCAATGAAACTACCTCTAATATGGAAAGGAAAGTAAATAATACATAACTAATATTTAACACAACTGCCATATATAGACCAATTTATGGCCATTTATTTTAGGTCTAGGTAAATACCCCTCTCATTATAGTTCAGATATCTTCTGCTTTAAGATACCTAACTTTAACCATAAAACGGTGGATGACATGTCATTAAATCAGTGGCGTAATTAAATCGGCAGGGACCCCCGTCCAGAGGTTTTCATCCGAACTTCTTTGGTTTTTTATTGGGATCGGGGGCCCATCCGATACATTTGCCACGAGCACCGAAGGGTATAGTTATGCCACTGCCTTAAATATTTTATACTATTATATGTTTTTTGTTTGTTTGTTTGAACGCGCTAATCTCATAATAATCAATAATAGTTCTTTTGTGTTGGATAGCGCATTTATCGAGGATGGCTATAGGCTATAAAACATCATGCTACGACCAATAGGAGCTGAGCACAGCGTGTGAAACCGCGCGGAAGTAGCTAGTTAAGAATAAATAACTTGGTACTTACTTTTAGGGTTCGATATTTGTGCCTTAATCACGGATGTGCATAATACCTGATAAAATATGATGTTAGTTAGTTTTTGTTAATATCGAAATAAGTGTGGGAGAGTCATGCTTTGGCACGAATGGGCCGGCTCGACCGGAGTGATACCACCGGCCTCACAGAAAACCGACGTGAAGCTACGCTTGCACTCTGTTTCGTCGTGTGAGTGAGGTTACCGGAGGCCCAATTACCCTCCCCTTCCCAATCTTCCCAATTCCTAAATCCCCAACGATCCTCAAACTCCTAATCCCTAAAAGGCCGGTAACGCACTTGTAACACCTCTGGTGTTTCAGGTGTCAATGGGCGACGCCGATTGCTTACCATCGGGTGATGCGTCTGCTCGTTGACCGGCTTATGCCATAAAAAAAACGCCGGTTCTCTGTGAGGCCAGCTTTGTATCACTCCGGTCGTGCCAAAGCATGACTCTCCCACACTTAAGACTTTTATACATCTACTTATCAATGTCTTTTTGCTTTTCATGTGGTGAAAATCGTATAAGATAGATACATTTTTTGAGTCTCTTGGAATATATTCCAGTTTAACTCGTCGAGTACCGGTTTTGTAGACACAAAATTATAGAACAATAGGTTGCGGTCACCGGTGACCGCTTGGTGTTTGACAGTTTAATTAATAACATTAATTGACCCTCTTTGTAAATGAACTAAACTGAGTTTGATTTCAAATGTATACAACTAGATAATTCGATTTCGTTAAACACCGTCACTTAAACACAACTCATTTAACTCGTCGAGTACCGGTTTTGTAGACACAATTAGAGAACAATAGGTTGCGGTCACCGGTGACCGCTTGGTATTTGACAGTTTAAAGAGGTTAATACGATAAGTACATACATCTGACATATACCTAAACAATTCCTTCAAGACAATAAACTTCCAAAAATTTATGAAAAGAAATACGTACTAAACTGAAAACGAAATTACTAGTATTTTTTATGAAAACTCTCAAAGACAGTGAGTTTTTACAGCCCATTACTTAGTTTCTTAACCGATTTAAATTACATACACAAGATAATCAGGTTTACACAATTAATATGATGATTATGTTCTTACCCAGATTACAATATAAAACTGGAAAGTCAGCCAGTCCATTCTGAAGAAACAATAAAACATAGTTTATGTCGACACATGCGTTGAAAATACAGAAATCTTTTATACAGTGACACAAATCGCTAATGAGTATTCCCAACAATCATTATAAGCAAATTACAAGTACATTGCAGACTCTTATTATAGTTTCTCTATCAAATTATTGATAATCAACTTTGTGTTCGAGTGGTAAGGTTGCAAATTGTGTTGGTTGGCGGTGTTATGTATATTTGTTAGGATTTCGATGGCTGTTGTTGAACATAAATTAATTTTCTCTTAAATGTTTGCGGGTAGATAAACTAGCAGTGGTGTTGTTTAGTTAATGGTTCCCTCTCTTATTGCATGTGCTTCTGTCGTCTGTTGCACTTTCACAGAACTTTCCATACACACTAAATGTCCATGTGACTGTACCCTAATAATAAAATAAAATCTATTTTTAACAGGAACGGTGACAATGATTTGCAGTAAAAAGTTGCTTGTGGAACAGATTATTAACTTAGTCATATTTGTAGTAATAGGTAAGTATGTAATAGGATATGTAACAGTTAGTTAATATCATTACTTTTTTCGAAATATCGACAACGATAGTATTCTATAGTAGTGTGGTTTTAATGTGAGTTGTGACGGTATGATTTTTGCGTCGAATATCAGACTAGTTCTCTTTTTAGCGCTAAACGAGTGTCATTTACTTCTACTAAGCTGCAGCAATAGGATTATTACAATAATTATTCTTTCATTAATAAACAACCGAGACTGAGACGAAACTGTTGATGACATCTGTCATGAAATATTCTCCTTGATAGATACATTCAAATTAATGGTTGTACAGTTTCAAGCGACATAATCTAGACTTCTAGACGTCTAGTTAGGAGCACTAGCAACTAACTTAGTTCTCCCACTTGGCCAGCTCTTGAAAACGTCTAATTGCCGCTAAACTTTAGAGACATCGAGTTATTTGGGAAATTAGTTCCGACTCGTCACTCAAATTGGAAACTTATTGCTTGTTACATTGAGTTTAGTTTTGATGACTAACAAGTTGTATTTCGGCTTGAAATACAACAATAGCGTATTTTATATAAGCGTTGCTAAGGACATTACAAAATGTATTGAACTTTGGGCCCTTTTAGAAACTTAAGAAAGAACATTTTACTATAACTTTAAAAAAAAAAGTTGCCCCACATTAGGATTTTCTGCTGTATCGTGGGTGCGTTTACAAACATACAAGTTCACATACACAATGTCACCCAGACCCGAAACAACAATTTGTGGATCACACAAAGTGTTCTTCCGTGCGGGAATCGAACCCACGACACGTTTCACGGCAGCCGGTTGCCCAGCCACCGCACCAACCGTGCAGTCAACAAATGTTTACAATCTCAATCAGGCTGCCATTTCAAGGAAACGACCGTATATTTACGTAAAATAACCACTAAGAACATAATCCAAGCTAATCCATACTAAGTTTGTTCATGCTAAAGCTACTATGTGTCTGTATGTTTGTTTGTTTTGTTCAGGCCTAAACCACTGAACTTATTTGGATGAAATTCGGTACAACAATAGTAATTCAGTTACAGAATAGTCATAGATCCTGAAAAGTAGATTGTAGCGCGGTCAGTCTCCTACGATCCCATAAGAAAAAAGTAGACTTCTAAATTGATAACGTCGTTTTCGCCTGTGGACGAAGTCGAGGGCAAAAGTTAGTTACGTTATACTTAGAGTAGATTGCAATAATCGCATATAAAAAAAAACAATTTACTTTAAGCTGCACCGTAGACGTGGTTGGATATATAATGAACGGCAGCGCTCTCTGATAAACTTATTGCACCGACCACGCTCTCACTGCATCACCTAAAGGTTGGCTAGTAAGAATGCCCATGGCATTAAGCCCGCCTATGTACTCTTGTTGCATAAAGTTAAATAAATAAATAAAATAAATAAACCTGACCAACCCCACTCGGCGTGAAGACCCCCTCTTTTTAGAGAAGGCCCAGTAATGAACTGTCACAAGCTATGTTCCCCAAGCCAAGCATCACAGCAAAGACGTGGCAAGCATCGACTCCGACCTCTCTCATAATTGAGGTCTTTGTTCGACATTGAAACTTTGGACATATTTCTTCTGATGATTATTATTTCTTCTCTTTCTTTTTACATCAATTACTATTTAAAGCTTACGATAGTGACACAGGTTTCTACAGATTGACACACAGATCATTAAAGATGTTTAAAGAATTTTGATTAAGTGTTAAGAAACAGCTTTACATCAGACTAACTATAAGACTGTACATAACTGTGAAACATTAATGAATAAACTTAGGGTTATGTCCTCTCACCGCTTTTGTTATAATCCCTTAACATAACTACTAAGAATTTTCATTACAACTAATAAAAGTGTAGGAGAATGGTTCTCCTGCTTCGGCACGAATGGGCCGCCTCGACTGGAGTGATGCCACGGCTTCACAGAAAACAAATGTGAAACAATGCTGCGTTGTGTTTCGTCGTGTGAGTGAGGTTAGAGGACGCACAATTAACCCCCCTCCCCAATCTCCCCAATCCCCAATAATGCTCCAATTCCTTTTAGTGAATAGAAACGTAAATAAAATATATTTTTTGTCTATGGCGCCACTATAGTTCACTCTCATTGTCTCTGTCTTTGTATAACTCAGATTACCGTGTTTTTTAAATCCAAATAAAACTTCTATTTAAAGTTAAAATACGCTTTAATTTTTTACCACAACCACGATTCATATTCCTTTAATTCCTAATCCCAAAAGGCCGGTAACGCATTTGTAACGCCTCTGCTGTTGCGGGTGTCCATGGGCGGCGCCGATTGCTTACCATCGGGTGATGCGTCTGCTCGTTGACCGGCTTATGCCATAAAAAAAACATTGTAAGTGTTGTTCCACGCCGATTCTCTGTGAGGCCAGCCTTGTATCACTCCGGTCGTGCCAAAGCATGGCTCTCCCACACTTAAGACTTTTATACATCTACTTATCAATGTCTAGCTTTTTATGTGGTGAAAATTATATCAGATAGATTATTTAGAACATATTCAAGTATATTAATAACATTAATTGACCCTCTTTGTAAATGAACTAAACTGAGTTTGATTTCAAATGTATACAACTAGATAATTCGATTTCGTTAAACACCGTCACTTAAACACAACTCATTAAAAGAGGTTAACACGATTAAGTACATACATCTGACATATAAACAATTCCTTCAAGAAAATAAACTTCCAAAACTTTATGAAAAGAAATAAGTACTAAACGCAAATACTGAAAACGAAATTACTAGTAATTTTTTATGAATCAGGTCTGCTCGTTTACCGACTTATCCCATAAAACGAAACATATTTCATGATGAATTCGATATGAAACCCCTTTTTTGTATATGTAATTGATGTAGGCGGGCGAGGAGAGAAAAATCTTACTGACCCCGTTCCAACTTCGGTTCCATGCTGCGTGAAACCCTGGAATCTGAAACCGTTTGTTCTACAACCAAAGCTATAATAACTCAATCATCAAGCCAGTTCATCGAAAAACGAATGGATGCTAACAATAAGCACTTCTCCCACATGGCGTCATACTTCACAATAACATTTGCTTGTTCAAACACTCCCTAATCATCGTCTATTGTGCTGTGGCTTAATCTGAGCAAATACTCATTATTACGTACATAGTAGTACATATGGGCATATGTGTAATTATACCTTGTTTACTAGTTGCCACCTGATTACATCGAAATGGTATAATGGATTACATTTCATGGGTTAGCGTCGAAGAGTCAGTATATTCTTACCACGACGCTATAGAGATGTTAAATCATGGTGTTGATCGAAAATCTTTAGAGATTTTCAGACAAAATCTTTCTAAGCTTCAAAATAATAAAGATTTACAAAAGAGTACGCTAGAGAATCTTGTAATATCATAATATATTGAGGTCGAATAATTAGTATGAATCTTATGACGTGTTGCTAGCCACTTGTTATGCCGTGGAGGACTTGACAGGTTGCCGGGGCTCCGGCTCAAAGTGTAGGAGAAGGAACGAGGTGGTTTTTAGTCAGTAAGAGTCTGACACTCCCTCCCGGCTCACCCAGGCGGGAGAAGTCATTCGATGATTTACTCCCCTTAAAAAAATCCACTTGTTATATATTGTGTAGAAATAATTTAAGGCGCGAATTAAACAAGCTAGTCAGAAGCACACTGCATATCCATATATGTATATGAATAAAAGAAAATCGTGTTAGTTACACTATTTAAAACTCAAATGGCTAAATTGATTTGGATGAAAATTGATGGGGAGGTAACTTAGAATCAAGAGACGGACATAGGGTAGGTACTTTTTATTCAATACTTTTTTGTTTTACGGGAACGTAAAAGAACGGAACTGCGCGTACGAAGTCGCGGGCAGAAGCTAGTTAGCTTTCATAAACTAAAGAATAACATAAATAGGTTTCCACTCTTGAAAGTGGCCCAGTTTCCACAGATAATATAGCACTAAATTATTTCTTTTTTTGAATGTGTATCTCCTAGAAATTATCTCGTTTCTTTTTTATTAAAATTCCGCTAATTACGTTTTGAGTCCCACTTTAATACCAAGTTGGACTATCAAAAACATTGATTATAATAACTATTATTCCGACCTTCTCAGTATCAGTGCGGAATGGTACTGAGAAGTTCGGAATAATAATAATAAGGACTAACATTTATATGTTCACCAAAAGGTGCTGCTGTATCGTGTATCCATTGGCCATCACTGAGCTTCTAAAAATTAACTGCCCAATGATTTGACACGAGGATAATCTATATTAGACAATTAGGACCTCATGTTTTATAAACACTATCAAGTGAACATTTTTTTTATGAGATAAGCAGACGGATCACCTGATGGTAAATAATCGGCGTCGCCCATAGACACCTGGAACACCAGAGGCTTTACGAATGCGTTACCGGCGTTTTAGGGATTAGGAATTTGAGGGTTGTTGGGGCTTTAAGGATTGGGTAGATTGGGGAAGGGAGGGGGGATAATTGGGCCTCTCGTAACCTCACTTTCGAAGAAACACGAAGACACACAAGAAGCCGTGGTATCACTCCGTTAAAGACAGCCCATTCTTACCGAAGCATTGCTCGTCCACATACAAAAATATCTATTCTTATTACCCGCTATTACACACACTAATGCGTGTACTCGGTTTTAGAATTATCTCAAGAAAAACAAAGAAGACAGAGGAATTATTTAAGCACTGAATCCATACCTTGCTGAAAAAGATTTTTTTATTTAAAATTATTAAAATGAATCCCTCCGTAGTTTGCTGAAACATAAAATTCTTCAACAAAGAGGCGCAGTAACAACTGTTTCAGTTTGGCTAAGAAAACAGCGAAAAGTCAATAATCACCATCAGTCAGTTAGCAAACAGTAGGTAAAGTAATTCAATAATAGGTAAGGTAAAGATAAAAGAAAACAGTCACACTTTAAACCATCCATGTCATCATGCGCACGAAATCGGCCTCCTTGCTGCAACGACTGCATGATAGTGACAACAGCATTCTGAAAATGATTGCTGCCAGACCAGACTGTCCCTTGCAGAGACACTGGGTGGCGAGAGTCATATAAAACAACCAGAACAGATAATCTAACAATACTAACATTAAGGAATATTGTTACTAACCCACAATTACTGACAAAGCTATGGATAAAAGAAAAATGGTCTGAAACAAAAGATTTATTTATTATTATTTATTGCATTGCTGCCTGCCTCGAAGGCCGAGTGGTCGCAAGGGGAAGGGGTCTCGGGTTCGATTCCCGGGCCGGGCAAAGTAATACTGGGTTTTTTTTAAAAAATCTCAGTAGTAACACGGAGTCTGGAATTATGCCCGGTATTATTACATGGGACTCATAACATAAATAGTGAAAACTGGGTGTTACTTCTATGTGCACCTCTTCTTACCCCTTCGGGGATAAAAGCGTGATGTTATGTATATATTTATTATTATATTTATTATATGTATTTTAATTTTCGGTGGTCCATGTATATGTCCATGGCGAATAAATTATTTTTCTTTCTTTCTTTCTTTTCTTTCTTTATGTTATGTAACAACACAACCAGCGAGGTAGTGCAAAACTACAAATACAAACTTAACTGAACTCACGCCGATATCAGAAACTCATCGACAGCTCGTGGGAGTCCACACCAGAAGACCAAAACTATAGACCACCTCTAGAAAAGAGGGAGTTTGTAAATAGTCTCAATGCTTCACGAACGAGTTGAAGACCACAATCTAAAAGAATGAGATTCAATACAAAATCAGTCTATGTGAAATATATAATCCCTTAATCAAATGTGACGACACCCAGTGGAAGCGTAGCCGTGGTAATAAATGTATTCTATTTCACCATCACCGCAATGCTTGACAGCTTTTGTAATTGTATCAATCTTTTACCATGGCTTTTAAGAAAATAATATTCATCAAATACTAAAATAATATTCAAGAGTAACATGTCAAGAAACTCTCAATAAATAAAATTCAAATCGCTTATTCCGTGGCCTCATCCACAAAGCGGCAGTTAATAAATTATTTATAGACGGTGTCGCCGGCTTATCTGGATCCCTCTGATTCCTCACTGTTCACTCCGAAGAATTATATTTTCAACCATAACAAATCTCTTTCTTCATAACTGTTATATTACGGAGATTTTATTTGAGTAAAAGCCGCCATTTCATAATGGTGGCGACTAAAAATTAATGACTAAGAACGTTGTTTCATTGTGGATCTAGAAGTCTCATAGGTCCCTATATACACAGTAGTTATATAACTTAACCCAAAAGGTTCATCATCACCAACACTCTATAGCTGACTGCTGAGCAAAGCCTCTTCTCACACGGAGAAGGTTCTCAAGGAGCATTAATCACCGCCCTTGCTCAATGTGGGTTGGCGATTACAAACTTGTAATTGAAAATTATAAGCCCAGGTTATCCTCACGATGTTTTCCTCCACCGTTTGTCAGTGGTGTCTAGATAATCTTAGAAAAAGTACATTTAACTCGGAAAAAGTCACATTGGTACTTGCCGTTGGTAAGTTTCAAACTGTCATGTTGAGAGGTGGCGTCTTAAGCCTCCGAGCCACGGCGACTATATATTACCCAAAGGTTGACTGGGAGAAAACGTCAAATGACATTAAGTTCACCTTTTTTAAGAGGGGGAAATCATAGAATGACTTCTCCCGCCTGGTTAGTTGCCCGTTCCTACTCCTGCCCTTCGAGTCGGAGCCTCGACAACCCGTCAAGAACTCCGCGGCTCCGTATCGGCATCAGTTCTATTGGGCCCCATTCATGGTGATCTGATGGCTCTTTGAGGCGCGCGCGGAACGAGTTTTCCTTACGTACCTTATTTTTTTTCGCATTAAAGAAGTAATTAATAATATAAATATATTGTTAGAGACAGAAAAATAAAATTGTGCTTTACCTAACCTGAATACAAACAATATAATATAATATTATAACTTCTAGAACTAAAATACATCACATCATCAAAGTAAAGAAAACGCGTACTTGAATAAGTACCTGTTTCGAAAGAATAGTTCTTTATAACAAACTACACTTTGTAGTCAGTATTCAAAAACAATATGGCGACATCGTCTACACGACGAGGACGTCATCAAAAGTACCAATTTCAGTGCTACCTTCAGTTTCTTTGTTTGTCGAGTTCCCGTTAGCAATCACAAAGTAGATCCCACCGGGAGACAGGATTATCTCCAGCTTAAGCTACGACGGGTACCTGATAAAGTTGGGGTCACACTCGCAGGGAAACAAAGGATTTGTTATGCAATCATTTGTTTTTGGTGGTCATTGTTATTGCCTAGTGCTAATTTTTGCTCTATATGTCCTATTTGAAACTAGAACATGATATAGTTATAAGTAGCATTTACGAAGTAAGGAGACATTTAGATGACCGGGCAAGGTATTTCAAATAAAGGATACTCTGATGATGTCAGAATCTGCCCAATGAATCCTATTTAATTGGCCTATAGAATTACTTCCAATAACAAAGATTTTAAATAAATGCAATAAGTATCATGTTAAAACATTGCGACATTTTAATCCTCTGTATTTTTATCTACCCGTTTCCATTAATACTGTCCATGCAGGTATTTATACTGTCCTTGTCTGGGGCCTATTATGTACTATTTCGTTTAGCGAACTATTTTATAAAAAAATCGTTTAAACTATACTTAAAGAACAAATAATTAGGTGTGGGAGAGCCATGTTTCGGCACGAATAGGTCGGCCCGACCGGAGTAATACCACGGCCTAACCGAAAACCGACGTGAAACAACGCTTGCGTTGTGTTTCGTCGTGTGAATGAGAATACAGAAAGCCCAATTGCCCTCCCCAATCTTTCCGATCCCCGAATCCACAAGAATCCTCAAATTCCAGATCTCAAAAAATCTGCTAACACACTTATAACACCACGGAGCTCCTTGAGCGGCGCCATTTGCTTATCAATTATCATCATCATCGTCTGCTCATTTACCGTCTTATTCCATAAAAAAGAAATCAGCATTAGTACAACAATTTATTTTAACACCTCGCTACCACTAAGACCCCACACTCACCTTCAGAATTTGACTTTGTAAGACTTCAATAATACTTTACCGAGTGTACTGTTGTTTCATAAATCTCAGACGGATCCGAATCTTATGTAAAATTGTTTGTGTACCGCTCATATTTCTCATGCAGCTATGTAAATTGTTTGACAAGCTAGATATGAGATTGGTTCAGGCTAGCCTTAGGTTAGAGTACAGATATTATTATATTGAGCTCTCCAAATATATGATCTAGTTTTGGCAATAATAACGGTGTCTATTTTCCATCTGTTATGTTATAAGTCCCATGTCATAGGGGGTGAGCCTATTATAGCTTCGGACGCAACTGTAGACTGCATGCAATTATTCAGGACCAAACTCAGAACTCCTTGCTTCATAGTCCCAAAGAAACTATTGGAATGATATAATGTAGTATTTATTTACAAAATCTAAACTACCGAATAGACCGGAGTGATACTACGGCCTCACAGAAAACCGGTGTGTTTCGTCGTGTGAGTGAGGTTACCGGTGGCCCAATTACCCAATTCCCCAACACCCGAATCTCTAACAGTCCTTAAACTTCTAATCGCCAGAAGGCCGGTAACGCACTTGTAACGCCCCTGGTGTTCCAGGTGTCCATGAGCGACGCCAATTACTTACCATCAGGTGATCCGTCTGCTCGTTTACCAGCTTATGCCATAAAAAAACTAAGGAAAAATCAAGATCTAGTATAGAATAATAAAATCTAGGACCTATCTCTTAAATGAAATGTACATTATGCTTTCATGGATCCATTTTTACAATGTAAAGACCTTAGAGCTATTTGCCCACACTCCATCGTAAAGATAATGGTCACATGTCCAAAGTGACTATAAACTGGAACATAGTATTTTAGTGTCCATCGGCGGTTAAACTCATGTATGTAACTTTACTGCAAATGATGAGACAGCAATGAACATTGCTTTTGCGTTGTGGTCGCTAAATGTGCGATTTTTGTTTTTAAGATTTTGGTAGTGAATGTTGTTTTTGTTTGAACAGATATTGAGATTTTCTTGATGTTTTGGTTCAATGGATAAAAAGTAAAGTAATAAAAGTGTTCAACCATTTTGCAGCTTTTTACTTATTCTCAGCTACTTCAATTTAGTAGTGTAGTAAATAAGTTAAGTAATAGTAAATCATCAGTATTCAAAAGATAAAAACCCAGTACCTAATAATTTATTTTATTTTTTATTTTAAAAGACTTCATGCACACACTAATGTACAAGGTGGGCTTAATGCCTAGGGCATTCTCCTCCAGCCAGACCTTTGGGTGATGCAGAGACAAAAACAATGGTCGATGCAAGAAGCAAGCGTATTTAAAACTCAACAGAAATATATAGAAAAACGGATAGTATAGACTTACATAAAATAAATAATTTACCCGATATCAAAATCGAACCCTACCTATCATAGTAATAACATAAAATCATCATGCCTTTTATCCCCGAAGGGGTAGGCAGAGGTGCACATTGCCTACGGCACTTTATGCCACTGTACAATGTAACACCCAATTATTCATGTCATGAGTTCTATGTAATACATCCCCGTGCTTATTACCATATACCGGGCACAACTCCGAATTCCGTGCTACCACTAAGATTTTTTTAAAACCTGGTTTAAACTTTGCCCGACCCTGGAATCAAGACCCATGCACGGCAGTCGCGCTTGCGACCATTCGGCCAACGAGACAGTCCTATCATATTACTTACCAGTTATTTGAAAAATCATTGTCAGTAACTTCCTCTTTGTGGAAACACCTTCAAAATTCATTTAGTTTTTCGCTAGAAAGACCATCTGGATTCCCTACCTCACTACAACCATCCTGGTGGTCAACACCACCATCAGATCATCACCCTTATAAAAGGGAGTCTTCTGCATATGCTACACATAATTTAAACTTTTGAACCAATCTTCATGCATAAAGCAAGTTACTTTGTCTACAAAGTATCTAATAATATTCAAAACTGGGATTAATTAATTCGTTAATCTGAATTTCAAATTTTAATGGGGATTTGCAAACAGCGTACAGCTTAACCGTCGGGTGTAAAAGCTCGAAGTTGGGGGTAAAATATTCCCTGCATACAAGCTAAGCTTATGCTTTAAATAATACTCAATAATGGACGTTGTAAAGGTTATTTAAAATCTACTTTATAGACAAAATAGATTTACCCAAGTACTTTAAAGTCCAAAACAGTTACTATACTTGATATTTAGTCTACACACCTCAAGGTTTCGAAACCACTGCAACTCCTGGAAGCCGATATTTTTTAAAGGTACAAGCCCGTCACAACCTCCCTAAACCGCTACAACTCCTGTAAGCCAGGATCTACAGTAGATACAACCATGAAAACACCGGATCACTGAAGGCCGGCGCGTCCCAGGGACATGAGTAACTGTCTTGGTCCCCGCAACGAATTGAATCAGAAGATATTATAGTGAAATCCCAGGTCCCAAGTACAACTGTACAACTGTCGTGGACTCATAAAAGGAGAGGAGAAGAAAGAAAAAATGGACACTTCTTTGGATGATCTGAAGACAAAATGACTTCAGCCTATAACGGTACAACTACACTACACAACTTGAAGAAGCCCAGTATTTTTTATATTTAGTCTATTTTGGAAAGGTCAAAAAGAGTTTTTATGGGATAAACTGGTAAACGAGCAGACGGATGGCCTGATGGTAAGCAATCAGCGTCGCCAATGAACACCCGGAATACCACAGGCGTTACAAGTGCGTTACCGGCCTTTTGGGGATTAGGAGTTTGAAGATTATTTAGTTATTGTAATACCCATATTCTGTGAGTCGTGGTGGTCCAAAGGGTGCGGGTACAAAACCTACTAAAGTGACGTTTTCCAAGTTATATGTACTTTCTAAGATTATCTAGACGTCATTGACAAACGGTGAAGGAAAACATCGTGAGGTAACCTGGGCTAATAATTTCTAATTATAAGTTTGTAATCGCCAACCCGCATTGAGTAAGCATGGTGATTAATGCTCGAACCTTCTCCGTGTGAGAAGAGGCTTTGCTCAGCAGTGGGTATTTATAGGCTGTTAATGATGATGAATGATGATTACACCTATTCTAGAGATAGGCTTAGTCGCTGTTCTAAGAGCCCTTCAGTCAAATAACAATAGTTCCTGTCCTCTATCAGTAAGACGAACGGAATGACCTAACGTGGCAACATTGTACAGTGTTCCATGTAAGTAAACGATTTGAACTAATGCTTACATGGACATAAAGAGTAATGGCAGGAATTGCAGTACCTGGCAATAAATATTGCACATCGACCTTTGCGTATATCTGGTCATGATTATGAGTTGCAAAGTCGAGCACGCTCGTAGATTCATAAAAAGGTTGATTCTCATATAATTAAATTTTGTAAGTAACAAGAAAAATTTTGTAATCTTAAACTGTCAAACACCAAGCGGTCACCGGTGACCGCATCCTATTGTTCGATAATTGTGTCTACAAAACCGGTACTCGACGAGTTAAACATCTAAATTATACAAGTAGCGCCATCTAATTTTTCCGTGGGAAGGTAACCGTACATGCGATGCAAAGATAAGGAAGCAGGGAGAAAACAAACACTGATTAACAAATGACAATTTTCCCTGCTTCCCTGCTTCCTTGTATTTGCATCGCATCATCGCATGGCACCGAAATCTGTTTTCTAAGTTTCTACAGTAAAATACGCATATAAATTGTCCATGATTTTATTTAAATGAAAACCAAATACCTACTTCAACAATACGGTAGTTGACAGGTAGTCAAATTCAATACTTTTATTAAAATGTCAGAAACGATACTTTTCTATGAATTTTGTATTGGATCGCAACTTATGACGTCATCATATTTCTGCGTCAAATAGCATACTGATTTCCTTAAAATTAGAGAGAAAAACTCCAAAAATAGATAAATTGTCATATCAATGGATGAGAGTATGATTATTTTTTTATTATTTATTGCATTTAAAAGTTGATACAATTATTTTAAACCTAGGAATCTAGCCAATTACAAACAAACAGACGCTTCAATTTTATTTATCTGAATAGACGTATGTATACAACCTTCAATATTCCTATTTACATACCCACCAGATGATTTTGAACAATAATATAAAAACATTTACAACTTAATTTTACATTGTACTATACACAAAAGAGTTTACATCGATATACAAACAAAACAAACAAATAGACAAACGTTTCAATTAAAACGGTTTATAGAATCCTTTGATTATTGATATTATATTTGCAATGTAGCTGGAAAACAGATATTCACTGAAATATTGACCTTATATACTTGGAATTAAAAGTGACTGCAAAGTAAAATAAATGTAGAATATAAAGTTGTTTCTGTTTAGTAAATACCTAGTTAATATTTACACAGTTGTGTTTGATTTTCTATCATTGTTGTGTAATGTATATATATTGGTATATTGTATAGATTTTCGTGTATAGTGTATTATACCGATAGGTCGAAAGAAGACCAAAAAAATGCTGCCTGTCGTATTGGTGTTACTTGCTGCCACTGTAAGTATTATTTTTGTATCTATTTCTCAATATAATATCATTATTTTAAATTATTTTGTGTGAGTTCAAAGTAACGTGTGTAAAGTCGAACTTAGTGTATTATACTTAATAGCAATTCTTATTTAATTACCTAAGAATCGTGGTCGTGGTGGCCCGAAGGTGTAAGATTACTTCTCATGCAAGAGGGTGCGAGTTCGGAACCTACTAACGACAAGTACCAATGTGACTTTTCCCGAGCTTTATGTACTTTTTAAAATTATTTAGATACCACTGAAAAACGGTGAAGGGAAACATCGTGAGGAAACCTGCGCTTATAATTTCTAATTATAAGTTTGTAATCGGATTTTGCAAGCGTGGTGATTAATGCTCATAACTTCTCCGTGTAAGACGAGACTTTAGTCAACAGTGGGCGCAATTATAGGCTGTTGATGATGATGATGATGACCTAATAATCAGGCTCCATATTTACAGATTTCACTAATACAAACGTCTTACAAAACTGTGTTTTGTAATGGTCTCAATTAAAATCCTAGATATACTCACCTGAGAACATACATTTGTGTGGATACACCATAAGTTCTGTATTTGTTAGGATAAGTCTTTGAGATAAGGGTCTTTACAAAAATAAATACTTGTTTGTAGAATAACTGTCGTGTTTATCAAACCTGGCGATGTCCGAAACTAGTCATTATCCCTAAAACAGATACTAGGTTTACTAGCAGCCACATATTGCGATTTAAAATTAATATTTTTTTAAGTCTAAAGTAACAGTCCATTTTTCAATCGGTTGATAAATAATATTTAAAAAAAACGTTAAAAAAAATTATAATATTTCCATTCGTATATATTTCTGCGGAAATCATCATCATCATCATCAACAGCCTATAAATTGCCCACTGCTGAGCAAAGCCTCTTCTCATACGGAGAAGGTTTGAGCATTAATCACCACGCTTGCTCAATGCAATTCAAACTTGGTTGGGACATTCAAAGTTATAATTAGAAATATGCTAGGTTTCCTCACGATGTTTTCCTTCACCGTTTGTCATCGGTATCTAGATAATTTTAGAAGGTACATATAACTCGGAAAAAGTCACTTTGGTACTTGTCGTTGGTAGGTTTCGAACCCGCACCCTCATGCATGAGAAGCGGGCGTCTTAAACCTCCGGGCCACCACGACATTTTATTTTCTGCGGAAATAATAGCATGGAATCACCCAGATAGTGGTAATACTACAACCTCCATGAATAAATGTATGAGAAGCGTGATTCAGACAGGATTCAAACCATTCTAGAGTACATAATATATTGAAATCGACAGGCAAATTATATCGCAGTTGTCATTACAATAATGTGTTAGACATACGAGATACGACTACTATTTACATGTAATTATGCGATTCTGTAAATGGAAATACATACCGGATTGGTCTATTTATTATCTATAAGGAACCCTTTTTTTCAGTAGCGAGTAACTTTTTCTACTTCCTACCTACGTTTAAAATGAAAAAAAAACAATATCAACCTTCTTCTTTTTCAAATCGACTAATATTAAAGTCGGTTAATATACATAAACCTCCACCGAAGTGTCACAAACACTTCGGAAAACCGCTTCAAAATCAGTTAAGGCAACCGCAAGTTAATCGCGGACATACATACATACATACAGGACAAATTGAGGACCTTTTTTTTAAATTGGTTAATAATAAGTAAGTATGTTTCCCTAAGTATGTATTATATATCTGTTAGAATAAGGGCTCGTACACAAAACTGCGATGCGATTCGATGCGAATTCGCAACGCAAAAAACTATGATGCGAAATGCTGCGATCAGATTTCGCGCGACAAGGCGTCTTCCAGGTTGACCATACCTTCGACAACCGTCAACCGTACTAAACGTATTAGGTCGTGACATGAATCTTAAAAAGAAGTGTGCACTTCTGTTATTCCTTAGGAGATACAGGAAAACGAAACAAAGAAGATTTTGAGAAGATAAGATTTAGATGCGTGATGCGAATCAATTCGCAAGTTCTTGCGAGCGACGCGTAGAGGGAGCTCGCACATTTTTGCGATGCACGTCGCATCGCAGTTTTGTGTACGAGCTCTGAGTTCCAATAACTATTTATCATAAAACAACTATAAAAATTGTTAACTAATACAGTTCTTGTTTTCAACAGAGCGCACTAGCTGCCCCCGGTGCCTACTTAAACATCATATCGATCGATGAAGCGATTCCACCAAAGGATAGCGGCAGAGGGGTCTCCGCGTAAGTATGAACATATTGAACATGGCCAAAATTTAATTTCTAAATGTTACTTATCAATCACATTTCATTTTCACCATGTTTTTTCTGAAATTGAAGATGTTAAGGACGTAGATCGTTGTCTATGTAAAGTCAACAAGTTTAAGAAGATGTAAAATAAAAGACAAACAGGACCCATGAAAACTATTCCTGTATAACTATATCCTGTAGGTATTTTTTCTTTGTTTTTATTGTAATGAAACATCACTGTCAAGAGTAAGACCATGAAGATCCAATCTTGCCACAACCATGAAAAAAACAAATGACTATCTAACACTAATTCCTTAAACAGTTTCAGAATTGACCAAGCCACTGAAATCAGCAATGAAGGAGAAGCCAGCGCATACCTGCTGACCTTCGCACAGACCACCAAGGACCTCGGCAATGATGGTGACAGAGTCAGCCAGGCTTTAGCCGCCGCCCAAACCATTGGTTACCTCGGCTCAGTCTCCTCAGGTGTTCCTGGTGACGCTTGTGCTGCAGCTGACGTGAGTTTTGCTATCTTGTTTAATTTAAAAAGCAGGTTTCAAAAACGAATTACATTATTATTTCTTCGGTAAGGGTTTATTTAAAGTAAAAAGGCGTTAAATCCAGACATAATTATTCGTATAAAATAACTTAGTAAAAATATTATCGCTAGGTAAAGCAAATACTTAATGCATACGAGTGTCTTATCAAGTCTTTTATCAAAATCTCCAAGACCTAAGATTATGAGTTTAAATCTCTCCAGTTGATCAACACCGTCGTGTCTGCTTCCCGCTCCGGCAACAACCAAGCTGTCCGCTCAGCCACCGCCAAGTTCGTCAGCTACCTGAGCTCCCTCATCGACAACATCGTTGAGCTGTCTGTCAACCCTGAATCCGTGCGCTTCGCAGTAAGTGTTACTTTATGACCTTCAAGGATAAATGAAGAGGCTGATGAATGTAGAAGAATCGAAAAAACTGTGACAGAATATAATTAGAATTTGGTTGTCTCTATTCTTCCCAGTGGGAGACATGTGTAACCGTATATGATGATGATGAAGATGATGATAAATGACACAGAAGAGAGATTATAGTAATTTCTTCAATCTATGGATTGTATTCCCGTAGCTTGAGTTTATTCTGAACAAATAACAGAACAGTTGATGATTTGCAAACGCAATGCATACGTAAAATGGCCACCATTAATCAAACGTGGCCATCCATCACCACACTATCCCAATATTGTCTATCGTCTAAACAATTTCGACCCTCTGTCGTTATTGATACAAATGATTTTTCTCAACATTTGATTAACGATCGTTCATTTGATAGTGACATTGCATTTTTTTCTTTTAATAGAATTTAGGACTTGTTACCAAAAGTTCGTAGTCCCAAGTAATATTACAGGCCTTTGATTTCTTGATTGCCTTTTCCTTTAAAGTATTTGATCATATTTACCATCATCACTCACTGATTTATATTAGGTTCAAAGAAAGTTATAATTTTAATAATGAAAAAGAAACCTTAGGTATTGTTCTTTATGACTTATTCTACGACGTAATCAATTTGCAGGTTGGACCTCGTGGTAACTGCGCTGCTGGCGGCAGAAACTACCAATTCGAAGCAGCCTGGGACTCCATCCTTGCCTCCGCCCCAGCTTCATCTACCCAGTGAGGATATCAACATTATTCCTTATAAATATTACCTGATAACCTTATTGACAAGAAACAACATCGTCCAAGTCTATATTTTCAGTAACTTAACTGTGGTCGCCAAGCCGTCTGCTAAGTGTGAAGATTAACGCAAACCTCTTCGAAATACGAAAACCTTTGTTTAACAGTGACTATGTTTCAGTTGACAAAGTATTTAAATCATAGCTTAAACTGATGTCATAATTAAGAAAGTTACGTCAATAGGGTAGTTTCCTAAATTTTATTTTAATGTCTGTCTGGTGCATTGATTTAAAACTTTATTCACATTTTTTTTCTCACAATATTATATACTTTCGACAATATATTAATTTGAAATATCGTGTGACGTCACAGCGTTCCACATTTTGTTGTACATTATGACGTAACGACCTCCCACTCCTAAACTTGGCTCCATTTTATCTAAGTATTGCAACTTAATATGACAAAATAAAAAAATACGTGTCTAATATTTTTTCATCATCTAACTGACGGACTAATTAGATTTTTAATTTTGATACCCAGACACTATTCAATTTATCTGCTGGTTAATATAAACTTAACCAAGGAAAATAGGTCCTTAATTTCGTAATTTCATTCCAGCTTGGTGAACGAACAATACTGCGCAGCTAAGCGTTTGTTCAAGGGCTTCAGTGTGGTCAGCAACAACGCTGGTGCTCTCCTCACTGCAGTATCCCTGCCATCAGTCAACCAAGCCTTCCAGAACGTGCTTCCACAGGCAGCTAACGTAAGAATCAACATTATGACTCATAATTTATACATAGTCATCCACTTTTTCCCTATACATAGTTATGTATTACTATATGTTATGAAAAATAATATGTAAGTAATACCTTAATAACGACCTAATTTTTTGAGAAACTTGTTCAAATAATCTCTAGGCCTCTATACTGGCTTGAAATTAGTTGAGCGACCGGCAACGTATTTTATGAGAGAAAGCAGTATTGCCTTTTTACAATAACCAAATACGTCTACGAGAGACGTGGCGTAATATCACGTTTATGATAATAAATTTTTTTTATTTCACTTTTCAGTTCTTGGCAGCTCTTCCCTCAGGCAACGCTGGATCAGCTGCTGCAGCTCTCAAGCAAGCTCTTTACAACTCCGTTTAATTTAACAATTTTCATAAACTATAGACATCCTACACTAGTCTACTTTTAACTTCTTCTTAATCAAGCCAATATGAATTAAATTCTGTTGTCTCGATATTAAAGTTTAAAATATACTATCTCGTTTTTATACAGACTTTGGCATATCAAACATTGGTATATATCGGTATTTTATACACAAAATCATAGCCTAACAATGGATATATTATGTATATATATAGATTTTCTTCTATGAAGATCAAACTAGCACCCTTTTATATAATGACTGGAGATTCATAATTTATATGTATGTAAATACAATTTATATGTAAACAAAAAGACTCGGCTTTTATTTTACGGACTTAGTTTTGTTTCAATAAAGATGTATCCAATTAATTCAATTTATAAATGGTTGTTTTATTTGTGTACCTTATTCTACTCTACTATATGTTACTTCTACTATATCCATATATATAAAAATGAAACCCGTTTCCCGTTGTCACGCCATAACTTGAGAACGGCTAGACCGATTTGGCTGATCTTTTTTTTGTTATGTTTGTTATTGTCAGGAGAAGGTTCTTACGATAGAAAAAGTCCTGAAAATTCTACGGGAACGGGAGAAAACGGGACTGCGCGTACGAAGTCACGGGCAGAAGCTAATACTATATATTACTATAAGTTAACCCGCATTCTCAATATTAACAGAGGAATTAAGTTATTCTGTTACATTCGATTCGAAAGATCGAAGTGAGCTCAATCGCGTTTTTGTCCCTCATTGGTCGAGATTTTTTATCACAGCCAATAACATGGTGGACCGCAATCAAGCTCACTTCTAAAGTTAGAATTGACAGTTTCAGAATAGCAAATCAGCAGCTAAAATGCTGACTAAAAACTTTGAATAATATTGTCACACCAAAACAGCTTTCATGAACCATTATAATATCATTATTAATCCTTTTACCTTTTAAATAAATCTACCCATACAATTAAACATTTGAGGAAAATTACGACATAACATTATAAGCAACATAGTGACAATTTTGTCCTTAAACTCTATAAATAAATAGTGGACTTAACAATAGTTGTGTCAGTAACCGAGTTAATTTTAATCAACTTTAATATACATTTATGTACGTAAAATAATGATTTTAATCGCCTTTATCAGTGTGTTACTCCCTGTGTTTGATGTGTCTGTGGCATATATTGGACTTGATGATATATACGGTAAATAATTATATTTATATATATATCTTTAAGTCAAAACTATAAATTTCGAACAATATATTGGTATTTATACAACAAATACCAATATACCAATTTTTCTTAATCATCGCAACATGAACGGCTGGACCATTTACCCAAATACTTTTTTAATTTCATTATGGCTAGGAAAATATTAAAAAAATAAACAATTATAATAGGTAACGTTATATACGTATACTCGAGCAGAGGAGATTTTTTTGGGGGAGATAAAATCATCCAATTACTTCTCCCGCCCGGGTGAGGTGAGAGGGAGTGTCAGACTTTTACTGACTAAATACCACCCCGTTCCTACTCCTGCACTTTGAGCCGGCCTTCGCTGCTCCTTAAGATCTGATAGCTCTTTGAGGCGCGCGCGAAACTGGATGCGCCATACGCTCGGGTCTAGTTGAGACCTATCTCCAGTCTTCTCTAGGTACACAAAGCAAGTAAAAGTTGAGATTTATCAGAAAGTGCTGCTATAGCGAAAAGGCTGCTTTATCATCACCACAAAGCCCATAAAACTCGTATAATCTGATCATAAATTTTATATTTTTCAGCCAAAATTACCTTAATTGAAAGTACGAATGAAGACAACAAAAAGCTCAATGACATTTTTGAAAATGCTTGTGGCAAATATTATGAAATAGATCGTTGGAGTGAGTCTAATCTAAAATATCAGTAAGTTTTGTTTTTTATTTCATTAACGTTACGCCATAGTATATTTTCCAGCATCCACTGTTGATATACTATACATGTATGGTAATAGGCTCATCCCCTTTTACATGGGACTTATAGCACAAATAGTGAAAAGTGGGTGTTACATTGTACAGTATAAGGTGCACCTCTGCCTACTCCTTCGGAGATAAAAGGCGTGATGTTATTTTATGCCCACTGCTAGACCATAGTCTCCTCTTTTGAGTACAAAAGAGGATTTGCCATAATATCTACCTGTCGCATCGCTAAAACTATAGTTATTTCTTTATCAATATATAAACATAGTTTTTTAAAAAGAGTAACGAATGGAGTTTCTTGCTCGTTCTTCTCCATTCGAATCTACATTTTGGAATGAGCACCTAGCTTCACCTAGTTTCTCTGACGGACTGACTGAGAGGCTATTATTTATTTTGTAATTGTTGACATTTCAAAAGTACCAAATTATGGTTTAATTGAATTAAATGCTTTGACTTTGACAAACTGTATCAAATCACACGTGTGTAAAATATAATACCTTTTTATGTCCGCAGGTTACCCCACGCTGTTATACACTTCGCCGTCCCTGGTTCTTACAATTACAATCATGATAAGGTGAAAGGTAATTTCGTGTATGCCGGCAGTTTTACCGATCCAAATGAGATAAATTGCTTCAAGAATGTCGACAATGAAGTTTACTGCAACGAAACTGCTAATCTTGTTAACGTTCATCTAACGCAGCTTGATGATGGGTCTGTGTTCAACTTCGTTCAGAGCTTCCAGCTAGATCGCATTCATTCTCTCACTGAAGAAAGATGCAGACCAGGCTTCAAGAGTATTGACAATTTGAACACTGTTATTATTTGTCAGACATTGAAGACAAACTTTATGACTCTCAAAAATAACTATAACAAATTTGATATTAATATAATTCAAACTGATGACAGTTCCTGTAATGAAACTATCAAAGATAACCAACATCAGCTCCTTGCGATACTGAGAGCTGAACCTAAAGTTGATACACAAATACCAACTGTGTTATTGAGGACTTCTTATATATCCTCTGAGGATAGAACAGGATTGCCAAATTCCATGAACTTAGTTCCTTGGCCATTATTGAAGTTTGGAATTTTGAAGTTTATACAGAATGTTGGTTGGCAAAGAGTGGTAGTAGTGTCTGATGATTCCGAGTTTAGCGTCGCCTTTGAAAAAGAGTTGACGGATTTATTGCACAAGGAAAAAATTGTGTTCGCTTCTATTCGATGTGATAGTGCCGAGTGCAGTTTAGGAAGTGTAAGTATTCAATCTTTAATATATAGCTTCTGCCAGCCGCTTCGCCCGCTTTCAAACGGGTAAAAAGTAGCCTATGTGTCTCCATACCTGTGTTCCAAATTTCACCCCGATCCCTTCAATCGTTTTGATGTTCCTCGGTAATAATCATACACACAAACTCACCAATTTTCGCATTTATAATAGCGGTTTCAGCTAATTTCGACCATCGGCCCTACAGTTACAGCGTAAGGACCACTGCGGGCAACAAACTTATATTTGCGTTTGATACAGTAATTATGTCTAGGGATCGAGCCGCACACTTAAGTCTGTTTTTAGGGTATATATTTTTTCGATAAAATAGGGATAAAAATTAGGGTGATGCCGATAATATTAAAGTAACTACTAACTGTTACCCGCGACTTCGTTCGCGTGAAATTATTCATATGTTTTGTTAGTTTATAATTTTTTGACGTGACAACGTGTTGGCGAGACGTATCTGAGAGCTAGTATGAAACGGAACGTTTAATGTCTACACAAGATGGCGACTGCAGTTTGTCTGTCAGTGTCATTAAAATGAATTAATAAAACGAAATAATCTCCGTAATCCGAATTTTGCGGATATACATAACATACACTGTCGACTCGAAATCGATATTTTTTGTGTTTTGTTATTCAAGTAACGTTTCGATCGAGTCTACCGTACCTCTTGACGAAATTATTTATATATGTCGGAACGGTCATTAGTACGAGATTTCGATTTACTACAAAACGAAGGAATAACAACAAAATGAATAAAGATGGCGCGCTTCTAGTTTTAATTGTGACTTCATGTCCGCCTAAGAGTGGGGGAGATTGAGTGACTTTCAACATCGCAGAACAGCAGGCACTTTTGGCTGGGACTCCGAACGAACAACGACGCACTGGGAATGCTGTCGGCCGAATAATGATTGCAATCATCAGAATCAGTGCTGTGAAATTGTCATTGACATTATATTGTTTGAGATTATAACTGTGAATATTATTACAATGTAAGTGGACTAAACTTTGATGTATTTTGACCATTTGTGAACTTTGAAAGGGACTGAGACCTCTGAGTTTGTTTCGGCGTTTCTTCTCAGA